GCAGGAAGAGATGATCGTGTGGGTTGAGAGCTGAAGACTGATGGGTAGAGGGGAAGTCAGGTTAGTCTGCTTCTTCAATCTCTTCTCTACTTGCTTGATTTCCTACCTAGTTGTCCGGGAGCAGCAGTATGAAATCATCATCATCCCAACCCTTCTGGTTGGGATCTTCCTCATTCTCCTTGGGGTCATCCTGTGGCTTTTCATCAGAGAACAAAGAGAGCAACAGCAGTCTCCCGGACTACGAGGTAAAGTTCAAACCGGGGCTGGGCAGTGGCTCGGGGAAGATGGAGATTGTAGAAAATAAGGCACAAGCCTCAATGAACCCAAGTCTAGAGGACCCTGCAATGAGATGGTGGGTATGGGTCCCCTCCTGTGTAGTTGAGAGGGGGGTGAGCTCTTCTCAAGGAAATGTAATACATGCTTGTTAGCTGAAAGAAGAGTCGGCAAGAGAGGCCTCCTGTAACCTGTTTCTGTCTTCTTCGTCCTGTTGCACTATCAAACCTTTGGCCATGTGAGTGTCTAAGGACTGCGGAGCAAGGCTTGGGTAAAGCCCAAGGCTTTGTAACCAGCTTGGAAGGATGACATTTTATTCTACAATGCATGACAGCCCTACCCTGTTCTTCTGGATGTAAAGGGGTAGCCTTCATAATAGTCTTTGAAGCATTAGGTAGGAGGTGATAATGTGCTATTCTGGGGTACCACTGAGCATATAATGGAAGAGAATCAGCTCACACAGGAACCTCAGAGAAAAAAGAAGGAAAAAAATATCCTGACAGTAAATGAAACTCTACAGTGGCTGACCCCTAATCCTTCTCTAAACTGTATCCCAAGTCTCTTATAATTCACTCTTACAAAAAACTTCTCAAAGAACTTTGTCTAAACTCACTCTCACTAATTCTACTTGTCACATTCTCTTCTGAACAAACTAAAACAAGGCTTCCCCCACCCCTGCCCGCAATCCACCAAAAGAACTCTTTCCAAGATCACCAGCGTCAGCTCTGTTGGGCCTTCATCCTACTTGACCTGTCAAAGGCATTTGACACTACTTTGCACTTCCTCCTTCTTGAAACACTTTTTTCTTTCCTTTTAAATCTACAGCCACTTCGTAAATGATCTCATTTTCAGTCTTATGGATTCAATTATTTTCTCGATTCTGACTATAGTCCCCCTTGAACTCAGATTTTTATACTAAACCACCTACTTTGCAGTTTGGACCTAGTACACATCTAATACGTAATGTGTGTAAAACAAAGGTCCTGAAATTCCCTCACAATGTCCCCTCCCCACAGCCTTCCCTATCTTAGTAAATGGCAAGCCCAGCTCCCTATACGTTCAGTCTAAAATCTTGAAGATGTCCTTGACCCCTCTTTGTGTCACACTCCGTCTCTAATCCATTAGCAAATCCTGATAACGATGTCTTCAAAATAGACTCAAGCCACCCTCACCTCTCATAGATAATTGTAATACACTCTTAAATGGTTTCCCCACTTCTGCCTGTATCCTTTTATGCGCTATTGTCCCAGAGCAGCAGAATGATTCTTTTAAGGCATAAGTCTGTCCTCTCAATTCTCTGCATGAAACCCCCAGTTGTCTCTCAACTTAGAATGAAAAAAGACAAAATTCTTTTTTAAAATAATTAATTAATTATTTTGGCTGTGTTGGGTCTTTGTTGCTGCACGCGGGCTTTCTCTAGATGTGGCGAGCTGGGGCTACTCTTTGTTGCGGTGCGCAGGCTTCTCATTGCGGTGGCTTCTCTTGTGGAGCACGGGCTCTAGGCGCGCGGGCTTCAGTAGTTGCGGCTTGTGTGCAGGCTCAGTAGTTGTGGCGCACGGGGTTAGTTGCTCCGCGGCATGTGGGATCTTCTTGGACCAGGGCTTGAACCTGTGTGCCCTGCATGGGCAGGCAGATTCTTAACCACTGTGCCACCAGGGAAGTACAAGACAAATTTCTTTTAATGGCCTTACATGATCTGGGCCCGCTCTGGCCTCATCTCCTGTAACCCTCCAGTTATCCCCTTGGTTCCAGGGGCACTGACTTCATTACTCTTCCTCAAATATGTCAAGAATGCTCCTTCCTCAACCTCTGCACTTCTTGCTGATACCAGTATGGTTTGCTCTCAAACTTTTTCTATTTCTCAAAAGTCATCTTCTCAGAAAGACCTTTCCTGACCTTCAAACATAAAATTGCATAACTGATCCTTTTTCTTCCCCTCTTTTCCTCCATAACACTCCTTACCTAGTATATTACTATCTGCTTCCTCTCTCCTACCACTAGATGGTAATCTTCATGAGAATCTGGACTTTGCCTCTTCCTATCACCTAGAACAGTGCCTGGCACAGAGGAGGTGATATTTGTTGAATAAATGGATGAATTAATGAATGAATAAAGATTTAATAAAAAGAATGAATCTCTCTTCTCTAATGGAGAAAAGCTGGTTTAGAAAGGGGGAAAGTACCGAAAGAATTGTTTGATTGAGACTCTTGGAAATATGGAATAATTTGATTTTGGGGACAACTTGAGGGAGGAATAACTTTAGCTTAGAGTTGAGTAGTTATCCATACCGACCCTCCACCTTGGGAAGCCGTTTGATTGACTTTAATGATAGTCTCCACTGGCAGTTACCACCACATTTAGGTGTCTGTGGTTTGAATACCTATTCAGTAACTTCCTTAATTGTCTTCATACTATACTCATACTGAACTGTAATCCTGAGGAAGACTGAAATGAAATGTCATTACCCATCTTCAGAGGTCCATCTCCAGTTGTCTTAGAAGTAATGGGATTATTACATAAATTCTACAAGGTTTGGATTGATGCTGGTTCATAGAGAAGCATCAGAAGGTATCCTCACATTGGCCAGAGAGAAAAATTGCTGAAGGGACTCCTTGCTGGTTTGTTCCAGGTTGTGCTTTCTTGGAGTCCCTAGGCTAGGAAAAAGCTTGTTGGTGCCACCTCTTTGTTTTAGGTGTTGCCCACGTGCCTCCATCTAGGGGCCTAAGCTGGGAAGCAGCAAGACCTGAAGGAAGTGTGTTTGTACCACTTAAGGAGACATCGGTGGAAAGCCTTCTACGAACTTCCACACATGCCCTGGCTAAGCTGCAGGTGCCCCGGGAGCACCTCTCTGAAGTTCTGGAGCAAATCCACAATGGTAGTTTTGGGACCATCTACCGAACCAAGATATATACTGGGGACCCTGATGAGCCCAAGAGTGTTGTCCTCAAGGCTTTAAAAGGTAAAAGGAGAACTTCCTTTCCTCTTTTAACTTTTTTTACTGTGAGCCCTCAACAGTGAATGCTAACAGGCTTTGCAGACATTAAGATGTTAATCAACAGATAGTTGTGGTCACAATTGGGCACAGAATAAGAAGGGAATAGAAAGTAAAAACTCTGAAACAGAAAGGTTCTTCTTTGGGTCTTTACC